CAGTTAACTCCTTTTAATGTATTGATGAGAAACTTTAAGGTTTGAAAAAAGTTAATTATTTTTAGGAATAAAAAAGAAAACACACTGTTATTACATGTAACTTTTAAATAGTTCCCTTAAAAATAAAAATCATTTGAGATTTTTTGTTTGGTTTTTTTTTTCCTACTATTCATTTTTCTCCTTTGGAGAATTCAAAACCCACTTGCACATGGAAACTACTATCTTGAAATTAAATTCCTATTTCCCTCTAAGGAGCTTCTCCACCCCCACTAAAGTCAGAGTTAGCAATTATGCTTTTCTAGGCTAGATCGTCTGGCCATCATTTGTTTAGTCCTTTGTCCAAAAAGAAAAAACAGTAGAAGTTAATATTATCTATGTTGGGAAACACAAAGTGGTTTTTAGGTACATCTGGTCATCCTGTGATAACAAAGTGATCCAGCTATTATAAACAAAGCTTAAATCTAAAAGCATCTTTATTAATTTTTTTCCTGTTTGTGGTCAGGATGTGGGGAGAAAATAGTAACAGTAAAAAATGAGGAAAGCAGAATTTCCATCCGCAAAAACCTTCATACAACTCTTTACCAAAGGCACAATTCTAGACACAGGAAGTTTTAATAATGTTCATTCCAGGAACCAGATGTTGTACAAGATATCAAAAAAAAAAAGTCTTTGTACTCATACTTTGTTCCTCATTCTCAAATACCCCATACACTCACTATCTGCCCTGCCATCCTCTCAGTGTGTCCTCTCCTTGCTGGAGGAAAAAAGTCCATAACTTAATCAAAACTAGAAACCAAATTTTGACTCAGTTTTTCTTCCTTACCTCTGATCATAATTGATGACAGCAGTTTGATAGCTCTATTATTTCTTAATGCTAGTCCAGTGAATACTCACTTTGCTCTCAGCATACAATAAGCAGGCCAGTTTTGGAAAACGGGACCAATTGTGACAAATAGCTAAAGTTCTTGTGCTGTACCATGACAATAGACTTGACAATAGACTCAACAACTTAACTAGCATAGTTTCTGTCTTTACAGTTGGTTCTGTGTTCTATTTCTGAACTGTGTATTTTTAATTTATGTTACCTTTGGCTTTAAAATTCAGAATTGAGTAGAATTACAGGGTTTCATTTCCTTTATAATTTATGAAATTGCACATCAAGTGCTTAGTGTTTTTCAACAAGAAAAGATATGCTACATGTCTGTGTGTTAGCTTAATTTTATAACATCTCATCAACTTACCCTTTCTTTGTGCATTTTTTGCTATGCTTTTGCTTCTATGCATTGCAGTTTGAATAGAAGTATCTATGGTAGATTTGTATATTAAAGTCTTGGTTTCCAGCTAGTAATGCCTACTTTGAGAATGAATGTGGGCCACCAGAAGGGGAGCTTATTGTTGTTACATAGGGCCTCTTTTTCTGCTTCCTGCTCACAATGAGGTGAGTACCTTGCCACCCATTCCCACCACCATGGTGTCTGGGCTCACCAAAGGCACAGAATCAACAAAGCTACAGACTCAAACCTTTGAAACAGTCAACCAAAATTTATTTATTTTTTCTCCCTTATATGGTTTCCTCCCTTAAGGTCACAAGTAATAGAAAAAGTAATTAATACACAAATGCAATAATGGTTTTTATTTATCCATAAAATACACAGTTTTTAAAGGGAAAAAGAATTTATGCAAAAAGTTTAATGAAATATGTTCAATGCTTCCTCTGTGGTTTCCTTTAGTCATGTGTCTAACAGCACCTATCAGAATTCAGAATTTCCTTATGAAAGCAGTGATGTGAACTAGCTTCACTGAAACGGTTTCAGGGGGCTGCTGCAGGCTCTGAGGAGGGAGCGTGGTCCCGGACTGAGTGGAGCAGAGACCAACACACAGTCCTAGGGCGTGTGCCCCAGGCTCCGAGGAGAAAACACTGGCACTATCATGGTGAGCAGATTTACAGTGTGTTATGGGAGAGACAGACAGACAGACAGACAGACAGACAGACAGACAGACAGACAGACAGACAGAATAGTTCATGTCCTGTGGACAGAGGCATATCTGAAGTAAGTGAGTGTGATTGCCACCCAGGTCTTGCCACCCAGGTCATCATGCTGTCTGGGCCTGAGCTGCCGCTGGGACCCGTGTCTGGGGTCACCGCCCTGATGCAGCCATGGTCTGTGTTGATGTCCCTGGCTCCTGATATCACCAAAGGCTGAGAGGACGGGGCTGTGCAGAGTTGTCCCCACTCCCTCACTGGCTGTAACAACTGGAAGAGAGGGTCCCACACCTCACCTAGGTAGCGCAGTAGAGACGACCCTGTGAACAGTGTCCCTACTGTGAGGGAACTGGAGAACAGAGAATTGTCATGTGGTAGCCTGGGTGATGGAAAGACGCCCTCCTCCGCTTGCCACTTGCCACCTGTGGCAGGGGCGGGACCTGACCCAACCCCTCACCAGCTGCAGCACTTGAGAGTGAGAGAACAGGCCCTAAGCCTTGCCTGGGAAGCACAGCATAGCTTAACCTTGAAGACAGGGCCACGGGTGAGCCAGCCCTGAGGACCTGCGAGGGGACTAAGTGGTGATGCTCCCTGCATCTCCCTGGGCAGCACAGCGAGCAGAGCAGACACTGTGGACAGGATCACAGATGAGCCCCCCCCCCAACCCGGACAACATGAGCACCATGAGCGCGGGAGACCTAGCCCCGCCCCTCATCTGCAGCATGGGGGGGGATGATGCCCTCCCCCACCTACCTCACCCCACCCCACTAGGCCTGGGATGGATGGGAGACCAGGCCCTGAGGTGTAAGCGCAAAACTGCCCCTGCCCCTCACCGACCACAGCGCTAGGGAGAGCAGGCCCTGCACCTTGTTGGGCAGCTCAATGAGCTGACCCTGCTGGCACAGTTGTGGGTGGCCCAGCCCCAACGTTGTGAGTGTGGGAAGCTGTCCCCACTACTGTCTGCCACGTGAAGGTGAGGGGAAGGTGCCCTCCTTCTCCTGCCCCCGGTGGGGTAGGCAAGATAGCTGATTGTCCCCCTTCCCAGCTACAGCACTAGGAAAAAGAGGACTCTGCCCCTCGCCTGGAGAGCATAGCAGCCCTGACCCTACTGGCTGGGGTGCCGGTGAACCAGCCTGAGAATAGGGAGACCTGGTCAGCCCTGTCTGTCCTATGGTGGTGGGGGCTGGGTAGCGCACCCCTCACCACCTACGGCAGGTGGGAAAGGCGACCCTGTGGTCCTCAGAGTGGGACAGCTGTCCCTGCCCCTCACCGGCTGCGGCCCCTCTAGTGGCCCCTGCACCTCTCCTGGGCCACACAGTAGAACTGACCCTGAGGATGTGAAAGCAAGAACTGGTCCCACCCCTAGCTCATTTCTGCAAGGACTGAACTAGCAAAGCCAGTGCTGGAGAGCTTCCCCTGGTGGTGACAAGGGAGAGCTGCCAGGCTGACCAACCCTGCAAACAACCAGGCCTAGAACCAGGGCTGACTTAGGCCTCCAGCATCTACTGAGATCTGCTGCAGCTCAGGAAGGGGCTGGTCATGCACGCCCAAAGCTGCATAATTTACACAACACAGTGCAACGACAGGACAACCAAGGAGTTCCGGTGAGGGCCCAGAATTCACTGCAGCAGAAACCACTCTAACGACTGTCACACAAGAAATGTGGATAAACGGTTAACTGTGTGACTCAGTGCGTCACATTACAGCTTCCATGACAAATACTTTTCTTTTTCTCTTAAATTTTATTGGGGGCAGGGGGTGCCAGGGCAGAGGGTGGATTATGAAGGGACCGGAAATGAGTGAAATGCAATGGAAATGCATGATGTGAGAGACATTAAGTATAAAGAAACTAAATTTCAAAATGGCATTTTTAGAAATGGAGGCCATCCTGATTCTAATTTAGAAAATACTGTTCTTTTTAAAATCACCTTGCCTTCGATGCTTACTGTTTTGTCTACTTTCAACATTTATTCTTTGGAATTAAATTTTCATTCAATCTTTCTAATTTTAAAATGACAATTTTATTCAGATAATATAAGCATGTCACTGTGAAACAAATTTCTCTTTACTGGGTAGTGCACAAAATGAAATAAAACATTAAGATATTCACAGTTCCCTCCCAGTTACACACAGCAAGGGAAAAAAAGAACAGAAACAAAAATATCAGAAATTTAAAAAATAAATGCAATGAAGCCTATCTGTGTATATAGTTCACAACAAGTTTCTTGTCAAAACAACCACTTATTTAATTCCTCAAACTCTTCTTGAAGTGCTTCAGTAGAAACTGGACATCAAGGTGAAACCCATTTCTCCCCTCAAAACTACCATATGTAGGTTTTAGCATGTCTTAAACATACCACCATGTATTTCTGAATTTCTTGATATAGCATTAATAAAGGGGTTCTATACAGGAAAGGGGAACTCTAAACGTAAGGAGGACAGGGGTACAAGAAAGGGTAATACTGAACCATATTCTTCCTCGTCTTAAATTCAAGCTTAGTAACTTTTTATAAATAACATCGTGATATTCTTAGAGACTATCTGGGAGAAAAGATGGGCAGCTCAAGTATAATAGGAAGCAAATTGAGCACAAGTATGAAACTGTCATAATGAAACCTATTATTTTGTATATTAGCTTGAATCTTTTTAAAGGCATGTTTTATATGAATTTGCTCACATATAGCTCCATATGTTGTTCTTGGCAAGTTTTCCTTCAAATACTTCACAATGAAAATGTTGGTATTTCCCTATCGCATTTCAGGGTCAACACTAGTGTTAAAATTTTTTTGTAAGTTTTAATTTTTCAAAGTTTCCTATTTTCAGTTTCAGTGTTTCACTGGTACTCAAATGCTGGGGCTGTATTCCAAATGCTGAATGCAATTCTCTTTAAAGACCAAGGAACTTTAGATCTAACAAAAACAATGAAAGGTCTTCAGATCTTCAAAAGCAAACTGAAATAAGGCATGCTGTTTTTCTTAGTTTATGACAGAAGAATCTTTCCAACAGACAATGCATAGACATTGATAGCGCAGCATTGCTTTATTACATTTCAACTTTGCCAAAAATCTAAAGGACGGCACTACTACAGTACTATTGACAGCCTCCTACAGAGTATAGCTCCAAACCAGTTAATAACTGGCTCAAAAACACTTGAAGTAGTAAATACCAAGCTCATGAAAATGTACTCAGTTTTGAAAGCCTAATTTTGAAGCTAAGCAAAGCAGTTGTCCTCATTCCCATAAGTAAATTCTCAGCTAACGGAAACAAAGGAGGAAGTAGTGTCTCCTAAAACTGAAGTCTGATAGTCATTAATTCAAAAAAAACTGAAGAGAGGGGTGCATGTTAGGCGAATGAGCATTCTTCTCTAGCTACATACCGAATTCCAATCTGATTTAAGACTGAACCAAAGATGACATTTAGAATTCCTTAATTTCTCCCCAAAACTGGGAGCAGCACAAGGTACTACAGGTTCCTGGGGGAGGGAGGGTTCGGGTGCTCCTTGTATTCCTGAAGTACTTCATTCAGGGACACCACACTGTGACTTTTGTGCAGCCTGGAATCCGGACTCACTACACTTTTTTCTCTGCCTCGCAGAAGAGCTTCGGGGCTCCCTCATGTCTGGAGCACACGCTCTGCTCGGATTCACGGAGTATGGCAAATCTGGCGAATTATGTGGACCATGTTGGCCAGCTGCAAATTGGGGCGAAAACTGCGACTTGGAAAAGTCCTTCGGCACTGGGGGCAGCTGAAGACCTGCGGGGCGGAGCGAGGGCGAGGTAGAGGAGAGCGTAGGCGGGCATCTGGATAGAGCTGCCGACGCCCAGGCGGATGTGGGGGGCCGCGCTGGAAGATGTGGCGGCCGCGCTGGTGGTACAGGTGGCCGCTGTGAAGGTGTCCCTCCCGGTCTTCGGGGAAAACCCTAATTCTCAAGTCTTGCACCAAGCCCTCTATGTTGCCGGCCAAGCCTTCGTCGTCATCGTCGCCGTCGTCGTCCCACGTGGAGCCTGCACGAAGCCTCCTGTGGCTGTGCCCAAGCCAGGGCAGGACGGGGGCTCGGGCCAGGGGCTGGAAGGCGTCCCCGTGCACCTGCCTGGGGTACAGGGCCTCTCGGACGACGCGGTCCTCCGGGGCCGGCTGTTGGCGCTCCCGATCGTCTTCCTTGCCCCACAGCTGGGTCACACACCCCCGGCAGAAGTTGTGCCCGCAGCCGATGGACACCGGGTCCTTAAAGTAATCCAGGCAGATGGCGCACACGGCCTCTTCCCGCAGCGACTGCATGGGGCTGGGAGGCCCGGCGGCGGCTGCCATCTTAGCGGGCGGCCGGGCTCTGCTCTGGGCACGGCTGAGGGTGGAAGGCCGGGGCCAGGCGCGCCCGGCTGCACCAGGGTCTGGATGGCCGGCAGAGGCGCGGCAAGGGCCGGGGCCTCGCTACCCTGCGCAGCTGCGCAGGCGGCGGCCTCCGCCCGGATACGGAGCCGGAGAGCGGCCTCGCGGCCCTGAAGTGGGGCGGGGACCGGCGGCCTCCGCCCGGCCCGGGGACGACGCGCTCGGGCCGCCGCCCGCCTTCCTCGGGTCACGGCGGAGCCCGCACCCGCCGGGCTCCCCAGGCTCCGGGCACGCAGGCCAACTCACGGCAGCCGGCGCAGCGCTCGGGACCGGGCCGCATCCGGCCGCTGGGCGGCGCCTGAGCCCGCCCGGCCCGGGTCCGCGTCCCCAGCGCCGCAGCGCGACAGCGGCGCCCGCAACCGACGGCCGCCGCCCCGGACGGACGCCGCTCTTTGCAGCACAGGCGCCCGGAAGTGACGTCCGCGGGCTCCGGCACGTCCTCCGGAAGGGCGCTCTGGGCCGTCGGCGGACCACCGACTTGGTGGTATTCGAGCGGTTGGGGGAGGAGCCCAGCCATTTGTGATGGCGGGGACAGGGAAAGGTGCAGGATGCTAGAGTAGGCCTGGAATCCCAGCACGCCCGACCTCAAAGTCAGGAGTTCGAGACCACCCGAGGCCGCACAGCTGCTTGGAAGCTCATATTGGCCATAAGATCGATACCTCAATAAACAGAGAGCTAGACGGGCGCGTAAACTAAAAAGGGACGGGTGGCCCCAGGCTCCTAAAAATAAGGGCTCATGTTTCAAACGCTGTTTTCTTTTTTGATTGTCTGTTTGTTCTATACAAAGAGAGCTTAATTCTTTCGCAAACGACTGCTTCTCCTGACAGTGAAATACCATTCCCCGTCAAGATTCATATTAAATCTCTGACTCCATTCCAAGAAGGGTCAGAACTTCATTCTTTACGCTCAGTACTCTCTCTTGCCCCCACGTAAGAAGTTTGTTACAAAAGCTGATGAACATAATCAAGTCATACTGGAAGGAATGTTCTGGACTGGGAATATGCAGCTGCAGGGAGGAGATATTTTGGCACTTCCTGCATTATAAACGTTAAAATGATTAAGTATGGAATTGGTCTACCAAGAGTGCTGCAATCCCTTCACGGTTATTAAGAGATGTGTTAAACACATTAAAATAGATGTAAGTTATGTGTTATTGGAGGGTTCGCCTTTAAAGTTTTTAAAAGTTTGAGCTGTTTGTGGGATTTTTGGTTGGTTGGTTGGTTTTCAATTTTGCAGAACATTCAGCATTGGGATTTCCATGCTTAGGTCAACATTTTAAAATAATCCCGTGTGTTTAAAAAAAAATATGAAAACCTAGATATTCCAAAAGGCCTAAACTATATACAACTTAGGACTGCAGTACACACTCGCTTCCTCGTAACGTCTCACTGACATCACGGCAGATTTTTAAATTATAAGTAGCAAGTGTCATCCAAGGAAACATAACAGCCACATCAACTTGTAGAGACAAATCATAATTGATGCTAAAGAAAGGTAAACCAAAAGAAAAAGACTTTAAAATGAAAAATGAAAGGAAGAATAGAAGTAACCACAGAGAAAATTCAGGAGAAAAAATTCTGAAACATGGACCGACAATCCCAGGTATTCACAGAAAGAGAGTTGAAACTCTACAAGTAAAGAAATAGATATGCAATTACACAATGAAAACATCTGGGTGGAAAAAAATATATAAAACATGGTCAAAAGTTCTCTGGCCAAACAGTGGAACAAGGTTCCAACAAGGCAGGGTCCACAGTTAGCGATTCATTTTTACATATTTATTGGCAGTTAAAGTTCTCTAGTTATTGTGGTCTAGGGGTCATTCTGCCACTTGCTCATCGCTTTCTCTAAGATTCAAATTTGAATGAGGGAGTCCCTGCCTGTTGATCTTTAACCCCCATCACCAGGCCTCTGCTAGAGAACTCAGCTGGAAAGTGCAAGGCCCCAGCTAGATTCCCCCTATCCATACAGGAACATCCTGAGTCCCTGCCTGCCGGATCTTTGACCCACATCGCTGGGCCTCTGATAGAGGTGAGTCTGGGACCAAATCGGGTTGAATCCCCCCACACACACCCTTTCCTGGAAACTCCCTGGATTGGCCTCGAATCTCGCTTCCCGTGTCCCCATCTAGAGCGCTCCTGATGCCCTGATTCATATCCACCCACCCCCACCAAGATCCTGCTCTCTCCCTACCCTGTGCCATACCCTGCCCAATGACCCACTGCTCTGGTTGAGCACTGGGACTGAAGGCAGATCCAACAATCCTGCCACCTTCAGGGAACTTCCCTGAGCTGCTCTGAGCACACTAGACCTGCCTATCCACACAGGACGACCCTAAATCCTCACCTGCCTGGTCTCTGAACCCCACTGCCAATTCTCTGCTGGAGTTCTGAGCCCCTGCCAGAGATATGCCTATCCCCTCTGGACCATCCTGAGTCCTACCCTGCTTTATCTTTGACCCCCATCACCAGGCCCATGCATGAGGAGAGACCTAGAGAGCTTGGTCCACCCAGAGCTACAGACATCGAACTTCTAACCCACCTAAGCCCACCAGAGAGAGAGAGAGACCCCACCTATACCTACTAGAAGAAGCCATGGGAAGACAACAATACAAGAAAACACCTAACAATAGAAAGACAAGAATGACACCACCAGAATCTGGGGACTCTACACCAACTAGACATGAACACCCCAAAGCAGAAGAAGCAGAAAAGAACGACTTAAAAAATATCTTCATAAAAATAATAGAGACCCTCAAAGATGATGTGAGAAAACCCTTAAAGAAATGGAAGAAAAAACAAACTAAAAATTGGAAGAAATGAACAAATCCCTTAAAGAAAGTATGGAAAGCCAAGGGGGAAAAAAAAAAAAAAAAACAATTAAATGGGTGAAGGAAATTGTTCAAGACTTGAAAAGTGAAATACAGACAATAAAGAAAACACAAACTGAAGGAATGCTGGAAATAGAAAAACTGGGCAATCGATCAGGAACTACAGATGCAAGCATAACCAACAGAATACAAGAGATGGAAGAGAGAATCTCAGGCGCTGAAGATAAACTAGAGGAAATAGATTCATTAACCAAAGAAAAATCTTAAATCCAACAAATCCTTAACACAAAACATCCAGGAAATGTGGGACACCGTGAAAAGGCCAAACCTAAGAATAATAGGCATAGAGGAAGGTGAAGAATCCCAGCTCAAAGGTGCAGAAAATATATTCAACAAAATCATTGAAGAAAACTTTCCCAATCTGAAGAAGGACTAGCCTATGAAAGTACAAGAAGCATACCGAACACCAAATAGGCTGGACCAAAGAAAAAAGACACCCTTGACATATAATAATGGAAACATCTAACATACAGTATAAAGAAAGAATATTAAGAGCAGCGAAGGAAAAAGGCCATGTAACATATAAAGGCAGACCTATCAAAATTACACCTGACTTCTCCATGGAAACTCTCAAGGCCATAAGGTCCTAGATAGATGTACTACAAGTACTAAGAGTCAATGGATGCCAGCCCAGGCTACTATACCCAGCAAAATTCTCAATCACTATAGATGGAGAAACAAGATGTTTAATGACAAAGCCAGATTTTCAAAATATGTATCTATAAATCCCGCCATATAGAAAGTTCTGAAAGGAAAACTCCAACCCAAGGAATTTAAGTATGCTCACAAAGACATAGGCAATAGGTAATCCCTATTACAAGCATTAACAATCAATGGTCCTTACTGTCCCTCAACATTAATGGTCTTGACTCATGTATAAAAAGACACAGGCTAACAGAATGGATACAAAGACAGAATCCATCCTTCTGCTGCATACAAGAAAGACATCTAAGCTTCAAAAACAGGTATTTCCTCAGGGCAAGGGGCTGGGAATAAGATTTTCCAATCAAATGGATCCAAGAAGCAAGCAGGTGTAGCTAACCTAATATCTAACAAGTTAGACTTCACACCAAAATCAATCAAAAGAGATGAAGATGGTCATTTCGTATTCATCACAGGAGAAATCAATCAGCACAAAGTCTCAATTCTGAACATCTATGCCCCAAATACAAAGGCACCCACATTCATAAAAGAAACGCTACTAAAACTCAAAGCTCACATAAAACCTCACACACTCATATTTGGAGACTTCAACACCCCACTCTTACTGCTAGACAGTACCACCAGTCAGAAACTTAACAAAGAAACAAAAGAACTAACAGAACTTATGTCTCAATTGGGTTTAACAGAAATCTATAGAACATTCCATCCAAACACAAAAGAATATACGTTTTTCTCTGCTCCACATGGAACCTTCTCTGAAATCAACCACATACTAGGCAACATAAAAAACATCAACAGATAGAAAAAACTTGGAATAGTTTCCTGTATCTTATCAGACTACCATGCTTTAAAGTTGGAATTCAACATCAGTACAAATCGCAGAAACCATACAAACTCATGGAAACTGAACAATGCACAATTGCACCATACCTGGACCAAAGAAGAAATAAAGAAAGAAATTAAGAAATTCCTAAAATTCAACGAGAATGAGGACACAACATACCAGAAATTATGGAACACCTTGAAAGCAGTGCTATGAAGGATGTTCATTGCACTAAGTGCCCATATGAAGAAAACGGAGCACAATCACATTAGAGAATTAACAGCACAACTGAAAGCCTTAGAACAAAAAGAAGCAAACTCACCCCAGAGGAGTAGATGCCAAGAAATAATCAACTTGAGGGCTAAAATCAATAAAATAAAATAGAAACCAGGAAAACAATACAAAAAAAAAAAATCAATGCAACAAAGAGTTGGTTTTTCGAGAAAAGCAACAAGATAGACAAACCTTTATCTAAACTATCCAAAAAGCAGAGAGAGAGCATGCAAATTAACAAAATTAGAAACAAAAGGGGGGACATAACAACAGACACTGAGGAAATCAAGGGACTCTTCAGGTCATACTTTGAAAATCTGTACTCCACACAACAGAAACAGAAGGTTCATTACCAAACTCTTTTTATGAGGTCCCAATCACCTTGGTAC